AATTTGGCTTGTTCAATCACACTATCGTGGAGATCAAGTACAAAAAATGTTAATAGTGGAAATTAAGTAGATGAAAAGAAAAGAAGATTGAAATGGAAATTTCTAAAGAAAGAAAGAATAAATTAGCTACATTTGAGAACGTAGGGAAGCAAACGACAAATTAACTCTGAGGAAGAATGTCATGAACTCAGCAAAAATACAGGTCATCAGTGAAAAGTACAAAAATTAAAGTTCAAGTGTAAACATTTGTGGTAGCTACTTGCAATGGGTTTCTTAAGATAAGGAAAATCAATTCTGTCTGCAGGTATACAATTTTTACGCTTCACCCATTATCATTAAAAGTTCTAAAATTGTACTTTCTCCGTACGGAGTAGAGAGAGAAATCTATGAAATGCTGCCGGAAAAAACGCGAATTTCAGACAGAAAAACTCTTTATTACAGGCCTGGTAACCAAAAGGTAGATAAATACAGTTGCTAATTTTAGACACAAACCCCCTTTCACCTGCTGTAAACAGAATCTATGCTTTGTGGGTTGATACCGAAAAATCGAATAGCCAAACGTCTCTTTGCCTTTCCGTGTGTGTCTGTCCGTCCGTCCGTGAACAAATCTAGCGGCTAAACCGTTCGGCCGATTTTCTCCAAAATTGATATTCCTCGATCGATCTGGCTGCGGCCCCTTGAATTTAAAACTTACATTTGTGGGAGGGGGTATTACATGAAGCTTCGGTTACATTTTTCAAATTTTCAAAAAATGGCTCCGTCCATTTTTGATGAAATGTTGTTGTTCAATAGTGAGAAGGATGTTCAAGAGAACGGTGTAGGCATCATGGTCGTTAAAAACTCTCATTTTCCGAAAATTGCAAAAGTTCAAAAATTTTCAGCCTTTTCCTGCAACTAAAATATTAAAGATATAGAGTTTTCCCCTAATTGAAATCTATTCCTTAAAGGCGCATTTTTTAATAGGTTATGAACAAGTTTTCTAAAACACGTTCTTTTCGCGTAATTTTGTGTGAAATAGCGGAGGCAAAGTACGTGCTGTTTTAGCACCACTAGTTTTCCTGACTAACCCTTTGAATTTAAGTCTTCGGGAGGGGGCGTCAAGGAGTGCTCTCCAAAGAACGCACAAACAAGAAGAACCAGCCAAATCACGCGCGTTCTCACACAGGTGAAACACGAGGGAAGAAGGAGGAAACATCGCGCGCCGTCCGTTGCCCGTTTGTTACGGTAGTGCTCCGGCATTCGCCTGGTGTTGATCAGAATATCTACAGAAAACCAACAACGAGAGCAGCCGCCTGCTAGAATTCCCCTCCAGACAGCGACTGAATTCGACAAGCTGACAAGCTTGTGTCGAAAACTCCTAGGACCCCCTGGTCAGAGGGCCCGCAGAGACGGCGGTTCGGCCATGCCCGTGAAGTTGACGAAGCACGCTAGAGCGAGCGCGGGTCCTTCGTAAGAATCCAACCCATCAAGGTCTCATCCTGGCTCCGCAATTGGGCGAATTTACGGCTGGCGGCGGGCGCGGCGGGCGGCGGGGGGGGCGGGGGCGTGGCCGTGGGCGGGGGCGGGGGCGGGGGTTGGCGCCGTGCTGCCGCGGAAGGGCGGGTGGCCCTCGGGAAGTGGCGCGTGCGTGTCGGCCACGGGCAGGCGATGGCGGTGGCGGGGGCAATTAGATGGCAGGGGCGGGGCACCGGGTAGTCGCTTTAATGGGCGCCATATAACTGGTCATACGGCCCGCCGCAATTCTGCATGCTCTCCGCTGGCCCGGCCGCCGCCACTTTTTCGACGCCCCGCACGCCGGCGCTTCTTGTCTTCGGGGGCGGAGGCGGGAAACGGCGTGATTGCCCAGCTTGCCATTGCAGGAGAAGTCGGTTCGGGGCGTAATTGATGTCATACGTCCTGTATTTGCATTACATATAGTAAATATCACATCTCAAAATAGTGCTTGCATAGAATAAAAAACTGGAGCTGATATGGAAATACCAATTGCAGATTTGCAAGATGGACCTGAAAAGCTGTATGAAGAACAAATTTTTATCTGACATCAAAAATGACACGACCAGTTGTAATCAATCAAGAAGCACGCTTTGCATGAGAAGAATTGAACGGAAATGTTTTCTGTTTCTTGCAATGAATCGATTTTCACTACTAAAAGTATTTGAGATTTAACTACATATAAAAGACTCCGCTATGTTTAAAGAGCCGTTATTTTATTGTGGGTATCTTTTTTTGCAAGGTGGTCGAGGCACGAAAAGAAATACTCAGCCTCGAAGCTAGCGAGTTTCACTGATGAACGGGATTGACAAGAAATTTCCGAGGACATGCCAAACGTTCCTCCTACCACAGAAACAGATGCATGACGCCAAATAAAGCAGCACAATAATACCTGATAGACTCTCTGCTCCCAGGAATTGGAAGGATTTTGGTTCTTTACGAGAGTTGTATTAGGATGACTGCTTTGATTCATTCTTCCTGGCTGTGAGTCACCCACTAAGGTCATAGAAACTTGAAACTTCAATATAATCCAATGGCAAAAATCATCCTTTGCTGATTTTCTGTTTGCATATTTTACTGATTTCTTTATGTTTTAACTAATAATAATAATAAATCATAATAATATATGAATGAGATGATAACTATAATGATACAATGATAATATGTATATAATAAGATTGCATATATATATATAATATATATATATAATATATATATAATATATATATATAAATATATAATGTAGGATTGCCTTTTTAATCTGCGCAGCATAAGTTTGAAGCATTAAACTGTTCTATTGGTAAGCAAAATCAGTCTGATATAAGAAACAATAGCATTCCAAACCTGTAATATCTCATGGAGGATAAGTAATATTAATTAAAGTTTAAAGAGAACGACATTCATGCCCTCCCTAAGAGCTGGCAATGAACGGTATTTAACGTGTCAGGTACAAATAGAGTGGGAGGAGCTGTATATTGAATAGATAGCTGGTTACACAATTTTGCCGTTTTAAAAGGCGCGAGCTACA